CTACCATTGTGCTACCTGACCTCGATTTGATTTTCACAGGTGTCGATTAGAGAGATGTGATGACAGACAGAACAGTGTCACAAGACTTTCTTATCACAGAAGAGTATGTGGAACCATCAACGATCACTTCTTCATATGTCTAGAATAGAAGTCTCCATTTGCCGCAAAATCCCAGTAGGATATTGGTAAGTGAGGATCGCCGTTTGTATTGTATCTTCTGCTTTCATTGTGTATCATGATCATGTAAAACTATAATCGTGGACACCTGTGACACCAACGATAGTAGTCAAATAATGTCAGTAAGTCTCGGTACACACAACAAGGTGACGCCGAAGTGAAAGTAATCAAGTACATCAGAACTTACTGACACTGTTTCACCTACTATATTTTCATTCATAGCTCTCACCATAGTCACAGAAAGTGTTAGGGAACAATCCAAAATAAAATAAATCATTGTTTTTCTGCAAAACAAATAAAAACAAGTATCTCAATCCGATGTTGTGGCATCTTTGATGATACAATGTTTTATGTACATTCTTGTATTTGAGTTGCTTCTGTAATTCGTCAGTGTGTGAGCAAAAGTGCAGCTTACGATAAAACATAAAACGTTTGTTTCAAACGTCTGCCAAACGAAAAAAATTCTAGTGTGAAGAACTAAAGAACTCTTCTGTGATAAGAAAGTCTTGTGACACTGTTCTGTCTGTCATCACATCTCTCTAATCGACACCTGTGAAAATCAAATCGAGGTCAGGTAGCACAATGGTAGTGCATTGGTCTAATAAGCCAAAGGTTGTGGGTTCGAGCCCCATCTTGACCATCAGTTTGTTTCTTTTTTCTACTATGAGCATGTTTCTGATAAAGGCATATCAGGCATTTTCTCAGAGTCAGTGCCCTTGTTTCTAGTCAAAAAGAGTTTAACTAGCAAGAAAGTATGATTTGTTAAACGCTAATTACCAATATTTAGTGATACATATCTCAAAAACAAAAAATGTACTGTTTCTGGAAAGTACATTAGTATATAGTACCGTTTGTGTACTTCAAATTCATATAAGAAGTGAAAATGGATCCGCGCTAGTTAATTCACGAAGTTGGCAGAATGTAGGATAAGCACTGCTTCTTTTGGACATGTAATAAATGAATATCTCAATTAAGGCAAAAAATTTGTTCTTGTCTATAAACAGAAATAAAGTTCTATACAGATACATAAGAAAAATGTATGAGACGTAAGAAATGATGAATAGCAAATATTGATCATTTCTGATTATTGATAATAACTGATTAATTGCAAAAACCTTGGCCTTACTTTATGTAATAGTATGTGATGTGTTTAAAAATACCTCTGATTAGCTCGATTATATTACTTTTACATAAATCTTAAGACATAAACGATGTAGAATTAAGACTACCATGACCCGAAGAGAAAGCCAGAAAGGCATGCTAGTCAAGAACTCCTTTTAAGAAATAATTCCGCTTGTTAATTGACAGAAAGAGTACATACTTGTCTCATATTCAGCTCCGTTATTGACCGCCCTGTATCTCATAAAGTAGACTGTACCCTTTTCTAAAAAAAATGGCTCGGCGTATAGTATATCTTGTGTACTTCAAACTAACACAAAAAACGGAGAGGGGTACATTCTAATTAGTTTTACTTTAATCTGTCAAGTTGATAGGATCAAAAGAAAAAATTTTCAAACTGAGAAGCAGTATCTATCGTATATCTTATATATCAACATCATGACGGCATCCCTAAAAATAAAGAAGAGTTGAGAAAATAAAAGACCGCTATAAAAAAGTTGAAATCAGATTTTGGTATTTTCGTCTCTCTCGTGTACCATGTCATCCATCAGGTTTATTTCTTCTCCTTTCTTATGTTTTTCCATACTGCCTGCTCCACCGCTGGAATTCATCATGTACGGTACGCGAAATTCACAACTTCCACAAAATGATTTTTCGTTTTCTTCGGTATAGTTGGATAAAACTAATCGAGTTATCTAGTTAAAGCTGACTTTTATATGTTCTGAAGTTATTTTCGTGTGAAAAAGTATTGATTTTTGAACATCATCCAAAATGAGAAAATTTTTGTATTTCTATCTTTGAAAGTGCAGAACTACTTTTCTACAGTTCTCCACTAGGAAGTATTAAAAGCTAACTGTGGCATCTCTAGGAACAAATATGCTCTCAAAATTAACAGAAAACGAGACAGTCAGAAAAGCGACAGATCGAGAACTAGAGTTGAAATTAATCATTCTAATCAACGACGCCCAAAATATAACTTGCGCTAGTTTCTGCACTTCTTCGCTCGTTACGTATCGCAGAATAACTTCCTCTGATACAACCTTGAAAACAAACAATAAACAACTCGGTGTCTGGAGAACGTAGAATAAAGCCCGAATAAAGAAAACTACTACCAAAAACAACCATCAAAACTAGAGACCACGCAAGCTCACCAAAACTCTCACGCATAGGAAAGCGAGAAATATGCAAGGGAGCAATAGTACATGTGCATATTACTCCTCGATTCAACAACCAGACAAAACAAATACATATAGTGCTAAGAAAAAACCAGGAAAACATACCTATGCACACGCCAGGTGTCACACGCACACCCGCACCCATCTAAAAAAAAAAATTAAAAGACCAGTAACATAAACAAGCCACGACTAACCACACACCCAACTAATACCAAAAACGGTCACACATACCAAGAAAAAAACAAAATCGCAATTTGACCACATATCAGGTATTGGCGAGTTCATCTCAATAAACTCGTTTCTATCCACAAGTCATAGTCAGATGAAGGCACTTCAATTTGCTCAGACTGCTCAGCGTGAAGATCTTGAGTCTGTTCTCTTCAAAATTAAAATGGATAGTCGTATAAAAGCAAAACCGTTTGCCGATATTTCCCAATTGAGTTATTTCCCTGGCGAGGAAGAAAGCCTGCTTATGCTCGGTTCGATCTTTCGACTTAAAATGTTCAGTATAACCACGAACACGATATTTGGATGGCTGAATAAAATTATGCAACGAAGATGACCATGACTTGGAATAAATGTTTAACCATAGTAAGCAAGAGATGGGAAATGAAACTATTCTCATTTCACTTGGAAATTTGTTGAGAGAGATGAATGAATTGAACAAGGCGGAAAAATATTATAAATGATTGCTAAATGAGCTGACAATAGGTGATTCTTGTATTTGTGCCTGTCACATAGGACTGGGCAACATTGCTCAAAACAAAGGTGAATATGATTCAGCTTAGATGAATTATGAAAAAAGCATTGAAAATCAGAGCAAAAGCTCTTCCACCCGGCCATCCTCATATCACCTCAACATATAATAATATCAGTAATTTGTGACAAGATAGTTCCTATTTGCTGTAACACTGCAAAATGTTTCGATGACGACGACAAAAAATGACCAAATTGTTTAATTAATAACATGAACAAAGATGTGTAATAATTTCACAGATTGGAAGAATTTGTTGAAATGAACCACATTTAGAATTGCTCTAAGTGTCGCGCCATGATAGATATGACCCAATAAATCATATATTCCTATGCCATCTAAAATGGTCCATATCAAGATCATATAGTTCTTCATTATATGGAAATCACCGGACATTGGAAAAATATTTGAGAATGAACTACTGCCGTTGCGACTATCTTCCATCTAGAGAAAAAATAAATCAGAACAAAGATTAGTCTTGAAAAAATACTCAAAACATAATAATTAATGCCAAGAGATTATTACCTTTATACAATTACTGTATTGTTGCTGAAAAAGTTTTAAATAATAAATAATTTTTCATTTCTTTATGCTTATTTTGGAATATAAATGATTCACTTATATTTATCTATTATTATAAGTGAACTACAAAACTAAATTAACGCCCATATGTGGAACACTAACAATAATGGGTTAAGGGTAAAATAACGTGCATCTAAGTGCTCATGTCCTATGTTTTGCAAGTGCGCCTAAAAGAATTCTACTATTTGCCTTCGATCGTTATAAAAATCCATTTTCAAAATGAGACAATTATTTTGTGGCTAAACTAACGTAGACTGTGTAAACATCAGCGCAATCTATATTCTATGCGCCATAAAACCACCCGTTAAATAAAATCTCATTCTCTTCTCATTTGATTTACTTGAATCGGAAAGAGGAAAATAATAGTTAACGTAGTACTAAAGAAGAGACCAGTGCTTTATCAGAAAGAGCATGACGGATCCCTTCTTTATTAAATTCGAAGTGATATAGGTGTGATATATTTTTTTGAGACAAAAAACAAAAAATAAAAACATGAACATTTTGCTTTTAGTGTTATTCGCATGCCCCGCAGACTGCTGCAACGTCAACGGCTCCAACACTACCACTCGGAGTAGACAAAAATCCAGTTCAAGCCATCATTTATTGTAGTGTGCTCAGAGTTTCGAAGAACTGTTCTTCTAATTGATGATATAATTGGAAATGATTAGTTTCAGTATAACAAAGCCAAACTTTACATTTCTTGCAATAAGTGCTGGTTCTTTTTTCCTGTAGCCTGTGTCGTGACATCAGCTAGTGCTTGATCATTGATACATTTCCACGATATATGTTTTAACGTATGAATAGTAATGATCTTGTGTACCTGATAGTCCTTGGTGTACAATAACCCCATACAATGCATAGTGATGGTACTAGTTGTGCATTTTCATTATTTTTTAATATATATCCAGAGATATCATTTGTTTCTGTATAATTCATTATGGTATATACTTTTGTGTTATCTGATCGAATTTTAATTGCATCAACAGGTTTCTTGGCGGATATTCAAAAAATGTATTAGCATAGTTTTGTTTTTCACCACATGATTCATTACAATTATTTACGATTAATTCATCCCGTAAACAAACTGCTCATATACATTTATCAGCTGATGATTCAACTAAGGGAGCACGTAAAAGAAATTGTTCTTCCGAAGTTTCTGTAATATAATTGCTTTTCCACATTGTCTTTGCTCAGCGAGTTTAAATCCAAAGCCGAATCCATTAGAGATGGCCAATTAAACCAATCTTCCATGACTTGTAAAATTTCTTTATATTGATCATAACATTCTTCAGGATCTTGTTGTGCGCCTATAGCGTATTTGCTGTCAATACAGTGTAATCGGTTTATCACTTGCTCTGGATTACATAATCTACAAAAGAAAAAGATCATCGATAAGTTATTCAAGTCAGTGAAATGTTGAATTCGAATGAAAAAAGTTAATAATCGTGACTATCATTTATATTCAGTTAAAAAAGGATCGCATGTATAAGTAAGCACTTACGTTTGCCCCATTGTAATCGAATGTCTCGAATCAACTGGCCTATTTCGCACTGTCGACATCAATCTAACGAGGGAAGTACCCCAACTGACAAATCGCTTTTTCAACGAAACCGAGTGGACTATAGGTAGTCGACGATGCTGATTCCGAATATCACCATGAATGCTGCTGCTAAACCTTCAAAGACCGGTCTTCTGGAAAACCGATTTTCGAGAAACTCTAAACAACAACCAAAAACTTTCTTAATGAGGCGTAACTGTAGTCCATAAATTTCTGAATAAAACGAGGCATCTCCCAGCTCTACACGACCTTTCTTTGCAAAGTTATAGAGTTTACAAGAAAAGCCCTAAATTCATTTTTCGTTTTTCTTTCT